GTGGTGGTGGTGGTGAAGAGAAGTAGAAGAAAAAAAATGGAGAAGATGTTAGAAGATATATGTTAATGTCTTCTCCAAGAAGATGCCAGGAAGACCTTTTTGAGTGAAATGTCTTCCAAAAAACAAACAATCTGCAGAGCTTAGCATCTGCGCGCGTCTGAGCGGCGCAGACAAAAGAGGCCAGGAGCTCTTCTGGCCAAAAAACAAACACCCACTTAGTATATGTTGTGTTTATAATATTAATTTATCTATCACCAAAGATATTAATGGTCAAAGTGTCTCATTGAATACCGTGAAAGTCAAATTGTAAACGTTATCTTGGGACAAAGGGAGTATAAACATATTAAATTTTGGAATTGGTAACAGTCAAAAGTGACTAACTTTGACTTCAAAGGTAAGAGTGGAACTTAATTGGGGCATAGAGGGAGTATCTTTTTCTCAATTGAACAGTCAAGAAACCCACCTACATAAGTGCGGAATTGACTTTTCTTTCCCTCTCTCAAAGGCATGAGATATGCTAGTGAGATTTTATTTATTCTCTCAAATTGACATGGCATTGCATTGCAGGGAATATGTGGAGTACAATAAAAAATGGAGGGAAGCTTAATGCTCTCTTGTCAAATTCAAGAATATCAAGGAAGTTATCTAGCACATTATTTCCATCGTACAAGGTAAATCTATTGTCTTTCTTAGAGGCATGTCCTTTGCTTTTAGTATTTTTATTTCTTTATCATGCCCTTCTCACTACAACAAATCAAATTTCCTAAAACTTATATGCACATATTTTGTTAATTATAAAGTATTTCTATTAATAGCCAAGACTCAACATTTTCAGGGACATCAACATTTTCAGAAAAATTGCCATTTCTAAGCTTCTAGTTTTTTCATATGATGCAGGACTAGATTTGCCCTTATTTAACCTGTTTGATTAAACTCTGCCACCAGGTAAGGGACAACCGCTTCAGGATATGGACGTGGTGTATGTCGCTTGTAAAAGGGTGCTCAAACATGCTTCAATTCAAAGTCATTCATGCCATTTTCATGACAAATGGTCTCCACCACAACACATACGCTGTCAGCAAACTATTAGAGTTCTGCGCACTCTCTGATTCTGGAGACCTCTCATATGCCTCTCAACTCTTCTCCCAAACTCGAACACCCAATATCTTCATCTACAACACACTCATTAAGGCATACTCTAGCAGCAGTCAACCACATTTTGCTCTGCACTACTTCGGATTGTTGCTACAGGACAATGAAGCTCTCTTGCCTGATGATTATACCTTCCCTTTTGTACTCATCGCTTGCACGAATGGCCTTATGGTGCCTGAAGGCAAAAAAACACATTGCTTGGTAGTCAAGAACTCCATGTCCTACTCTAATTCTCATGTGCAGACTGCGTTGATCAGGTTCTATGTAGGGTGCAAGGCATTGGATGATGCACATAGAGTGTTTGAAGAAATTCCTCTCAAAGATGTTGTTCAAGCTAATGTCCTTATGAATGGGTATGTGCGGAACGGATTGGCTTCAAAAGCACTGAGTGTATTACAAAGCATGTCTGTGTGTGAAGTTGAGCCTGATGAGTTTTGTATGACTTCGGGACTCACTGCATGTGCTCATTTAGGTGCTCTTGAGCAAGGGAAATGGATCCATGGGTATATCAAGAGCAAGAAAGAGTTGCAGTCTGATGTGTTTCTTGGAACTGCACTCGTTGATATGTATGCTAAGTGCGGGTGCATTGACACAGCTGTGGAGGTTTTTGAGGCCATGCCTAAAAGGTCTAAGCATTCATGGGCAACATTGATTCGAGGGCTTGGGGTGCATGGCTTTCCAAAGAGAGCAATTGATTGCCTAAATAGAATGCAGGAGGAAGATGGGCTTAGGCCTGATGCCATTGTCCTTCTTGGAGTCTTAGCAGCTTGTACACATTCAGGGCTTCAAAAAGAAGGCCAACTTTTGTTAGCTAACATGGAACCCCTATATGGTGTTATTCCTCAACATGAACATTTCAGTTGCGTGGTAGACTTGCTTTGTAGGGCAGGCAAACTAGATGAGGCTGTTAACCTTATCAGGACGATGCCTATGAAGCCGCGTGCCTCGGTATGGGGAGCACTGCTGAGTGGTTGTCGGGCTCATAATAATGTTACTCTTGCGGAGCTTGCTGTAAAGGAGCTACTGTTGTTGGAAGATGGGAATGAAGCTGAAGAAGGCAGTGCTTATGTTCAGTTATCCAACATATATCTTGCCGCACGCCAGACTGATGATGCACGTAAGATCAGAAGAATTATTGGTGATAAGGGTCTCAAGAAAACACCAGGAATCAGTGCAATTGAGGTTGATGGGGAAGTTAATGAATTTGTTTCAGGAGACGTGTCACATCCACATTTAGCTCAGATTCATTTGGTGCTTGGTTTGATGTCTTTGGAACATCCACCCTTAGTTGTTAATGACACAGTTTAAAGTTTCATGAGACATCAGCCATTACTTGGAGAGAAGCTAGGAAAAAGATGAGAACCAGAGCCAATGAATGGCCATCCTCTCAAAACTCGAACTCTTTGACAGCTAAGGAGGATGCCTTTGCTTCCCCGATTTTTAAAGTGACTAAAAGCCAAAATAAGGACTACTCTTTTGATGATCAACTGAACTCCAATTCCGGTAATTGATTTCAATTCTCTACATAAAATGTACTCCGTGTCATTTATCAATCTTCATTGTATCTATTGTAAAAAAAAGTTCTTAAGCCGTTCTCAGAATAAATGGATGCGTTATGCTATTTGAACTAAGGCCCTGTTTGTGAGATGGTTTGAGGATGTTTTTTTAATGTATTGTTTCTTAAAAACAATGTATAAGAGTGTTTGATAGATGATTTGTGGTTGTGGGGGTGTAGTTTAATAAGATGATTATTACTACGTAATATTTAAAAAAAACCTTTTTCGAGCATCTATGGAAATCACCAAAATGGTGATTTTTCATTGTTTCTAAATTTTATATTCCGATAATGCCCTTATTAGTTTTACTTATTTTCTGAATTGTATTTGCCCTGATAACAAATTAGGTCACTGACCATTGCCATACCTACTCCTCGCTGCATCAATTTATCTATTCCTCGCTGCATCATCATCGTCATATCTGCAATCTGCAGTATCAGCTTCTTCTTCATCAAACAAAATGGTCAACAACTCCCAAGAAAGTATCACAGGACAAAGTTTGGTATGTTTGCTAATTTATTCGTGTTTTGGTTCAAAGTACATTCTGATATTTCTTCTGTTTTAGAGCCCAGTATGAATAGTTGTATTTGAATAACATTTATTTTTTTTCATGTTAGAGGTGTAAAACTATTAATTTGTTAAAAAGAAGCATCAGAAGCTAACCTTAATTATTCTTTTACTTATCCCCATATTAGTGTTTTTATTTTGATAACACTGTCTGTAGATGATATGGACAATAGCCAAAGAAAAAGAAACTTTGTCATTGCTGTGGCGAGTGTTCATCTCACAACGATGGCTGTTTGGATATTTTTCAAGGAGACAACTACCAATAGTCATTATATTGGTCAATCCGTGAGCACAGAAGAATTGAAAAGATATTATATCCAACTCGCTAAGTTCCCAATAGTGCCACAATATCATTTATATGTCTCCACAATCATTCATGAGATTATGTGACTTGCTAACAACACATGGGGGGTTGGTTCTGACAATACGAGCAAGTGTCGAGGAAATGGTTGCTAAAACACTGCATATGTTGGGGCATGATCAAACTAATAGGCCCCGTTTGGTACACGGAATTCAAACTATGGAATTGGAATTGAGGACTTCAATTCCAATTCTGGTGTTTGATAGCACAAAAATTATGTAAATTTGGATTTGGCAGTTCAAAAAATGAATTGGAATTGATGAATTCAATTCTATGGAATTGAATCTAATGGAATTTCAATTCCAATTCTATTCCAATTCCATCAATTCCGTATACCAAACGGACCCATAGAGATTTGTCATTAACATGGAAATGCTCAACAGAGACTATTTGTCAAAACAATAGTCATCTTAAATGTCGAAGACAAACTGATAAAACAACTTGATGCTTCTACTGTTCGGACCAAAATTAGTACCAAGTGCAGATTTTCCCTTTCTCTTTGAGGTAATTACACAAGCAACACTAGTGATTATATCCCAATTATGGTTCACTGTTCATTATATGATGATGCTCATAATCCTTTCAGAAGTGTCGGTGCAGTTGATGGTACTCATATGCATGTCAAAGGCCTGCAAAATAATGCACCACAATGGTGAGGTAGAAAAGATCACATTTCAAAATGTGTTGGCCGCGGGGTAGGAGGGAACAACTTCTGATACCAGACTAATTAAACAGGCGTTAACAAACTAGTACCCATTACAAATTCCAGAAGGTAAAAGTTCTGTATCATATTTTTATTAAAGTAGAATGAAAATTGACACCTTAATGATTTCTGAAATATAATTGGTTTTAATTGATGGTGCAAGTATTATCTTTGTGATGCATGATTTCCTTCAAGAACTGGACTTGTAACACCATATAGAGGAGAAAGGTACCATCTTAAGGAACATTCTCCTCAAAACCCGTCAACAAAGAGTCGGGAGTTATTTAATTTCAAGTATTCACAACTGCATAATGTGATTGAGATGTCTTATTTTTGGGATATTATTAAAAACATTTGGAGTAATTCATAGTTTTAATAGGCGATCACCTCCCTCGACTAAGTCACTCGCTTCGCTCGCCTCAATTATTGCCTCTCAGGCGTTCGCTTTTCTCGCCTTGCTGTAGTTTGGCTATGGAGCTTTAAAAAAATGGGCTGAGGAAAGAGCTGGCATCTTAAACACTGACTCATTTACACCTTAGCACGACTACACCTACGCCCATGGTTGTCAAGTCGTCGCCTAGGCCACGACTAGTCGTCCGGCCGTTTTTGCTAGGGAGATTTGCTGTGCCACTAGCGCCTATGGCCGACTAGGCTATTAAGCGCGCAAAGCGACGCTTAGCCGTGACTAGGCGACGCATAATCGGAGAAAGAAATCCGCAGAATTTGACCTAATTTAATTGATCCGACCCAACCCGATCCGATCCGACCCAAATTTCATTAATTTTTAAAATTTTTTAACAAAACGCTGCCTCCTTCGACGCAATCCACCCACAATCGAGTCGCGCCTATAGTCTTCCAGTTCCAGCGTGACTTTCTTGACTTCCAGGCCTCCAGCGACTCTCCTCCATCATCGATTATCTTCCATCAGCCTCCATCACCTACTCTCCTCCATGGGTAAGTTTTCTTATATTTTGTTATCATTAAAGTATTTCTTTTAATTTTTCAGTTTAAGATTTCTTTTAATTTTTTTCTTATTCTAGTATTTTAGTATTTCAGTTTTTTTTTCAGTTTAATATTTCAATTTTTTTGGTTTTGTACTAAAAAACTAGAATAAGAAAAAATTTAAAAGAAATCTTAAACTGAAAAATTAAAATTTAATTTTCATTGATTTGATTCATTAAACTATAAAGTATAATATACTTTAAAATTTTCAGTTTTTTTATTTTTTTAATATTTCAGTTTTTTTTCTGATTTCAGTTAATAATTTAATTTTTTTCTTATTCTAGTATTTTAGTATTTCAATTTTATTTTCAGTTTAATATTTCAATTTTTTTCTGAATTCAATTAATATTTTGGTTTTGTATTTCTTATTTTAATATTTTAAGGGTTCTAGGCTCTTGTTTTTGTTTAGTTGCTAGAATGTCATATTCACCAATTTGATTTAATAATTATTTCAGAACAAATGGGAGATAATAATATCCGCGACTACGAAGACGATCCATCCAAGGACCCCAAACGAAAAGCCAGCCATCCATGGGACATAAACTCTTGTTTTATGTGCTATCTTTAAACATAAGTTTGCTTTGGTTATGGTATTTTGACATATAAATATATATATTCATGTTGGGTTAATGTAGATATATATAATGTTAAAAATTTCAATACTAATTATGATTTGTCGACTAGTCTACGACTAGTCGGCGACTAGTCGCCTAGTCCACTAGTCTCCCCGTCACCGACTCGACTCGACTTGTCGACTTGACAACCATGCACCTACCAGATTTGAGTCAATTTACACTTATTGTACTTCATCTCTTCTCTCTCTGGTCTCGTCTCCTCTCTCTCTCTTTGATATCTCTCATCTGCTCTCTCTTCTCTCTGTTTCATTTTGTAGTTCTTTTGCTGCCTACTTTTTTTTGCCATCTTTTTATGCTTCGCAGGTTTTAGCTTACTTCTTTGGTCCATATTCTTTATGTTTGCTGAGTACTTGTTTACAATTTCTTTGGATTAGTTGCATTGCACTATATATGTATCTGTGTGTATGCCTCAAGTTTGCCTTTTGGTCGCCCGCCTCTTGGCTCGCCTTTAGCTTCAAGAAAGGCCATCTTGCCTGCCTCTCGCCTTTTGCCTTTCAAAGCTATGGAGTAATTGGATCCGGAGCGGAGCCGTTGTATCCTATTGAGACACAGAGCATTATTTGTGCATGTGCTATCCTCCATAGTTTCATAAGAGGGTTGATCCAAATGATGAATACTTCCCGAAATGATTGAAGAAGAAAATGAAGATAAGTAGACGTTGAGAAGGTGATCTGTGGTATCATTATATAAATTCCTAGTTATGTATGATTTATGGGCACGGTTCCATTGACACTAGTCAACGTTGTCACTCCGGTGCTATTGTGTTTTTCGGTGCTATTGTGTTTTTCGAGCACCAGTGCCTGTTCGCAAAATTAATAGTTTCTATCCCTTAACTCCCACCTCTGCCCACTCTTGCTCCCCAGCCCCCCTCCCCAAGCCTCCTCCAAATGTGTGGCTATTAAGCATAATAGCCACACATTTAAGCGGCAATAGTGGCGCTGGGCTAGCAATTTTTTGAATAGAACACTCGAGGTGCTCCAAACATGCTGTGGCACACAGGCACCGCAAGTGGCATAGTTGGCCAGTGCCAACGAAACCTTACTCTTGATTTAGTATGTAATGTAGTATGAACTTCCTCTCTATGTGTACGAACTTACGCTTTGCTAATTAGATCACACGACACTGAATGAATGAGATGGTCATTTTCGATTAGTGATTTGCCACTTCTATTGGTGATGAGTTTATTTAGATGCGAGAGTTGTGTGTTATAGGATGAGGTCTTCTGAAGAAGGTGAAGAAGCACCAATCCATTGGACATGGCCTATGCATGATTTATTGATTGAATCCTTTTTAGAGGAGCAAGATAATGAAAAATGGACCAAATGGTGTATTCATAAGAAGGGCTAAATTTCACCCATGATATACCAACTTTGAATGCAATATACTTCGGTATACAATTTTTTTTTTCTCACAGAAATATGTGAAGTTCAATTTTCTTTCACCAAATGTCCATTAGTAGGTTTCTAGGTCACAAATAGAACCGATCACTGGCCTGGGTATCGAAAATGAGAAAAAAAAAATTAATGACATAAAAATCTGAAAATAAAATTTTATTCATTAATGGTGTTATTTTATAAATGATACTCCCTCTGTTCTCAATTTGATTACAAATTGGGGTTTACGATGAGAAATATCTCATTTTTTGAAATCATTTTATTTATAAATCGGCATATTGATAAAAATAAAAATTATACATTAAAAAACTAAGTCAAAAGTTATACAAAACAAGTAGTGACAAGAATATTTTATTTTATCAAATGCTTGATGAAATCACATAAAAAACTAAAGTTATTGATAGGAGAGAAAAAAGTGTAATCAAACTGGAGGGAGTATAATTTAATTGTAAATCACCTTAAATAAGACTAAAACATAGAGAAAAGTACCAAAATAGGACTTTCATGTTTTTTTCCCGAAATAAGACTTTGCACTGTGGTAATGTGACTTTGCCCTGTGGTAATGTGGCAGTGTACATGTGCACATTACTATACTTTTTTGGTAATGTATATGACCATGTTTGGTAATGTAAGTCCTATTTCGGAAAAAAAAACATGGAAGTTCTATTTTGATATATTTTCAATGTCTTAGTCCTACTTTGGTCTTTCTCCCTAATTTAATTTGAATATAAAAAGACAATTATTTACTCCGTATAAAATATAAAAGTGTAACAATTAACGGTGGTAAGAGCACTGGTAACACCCCTCACGCCCACCGGCGTTACGGGGCGTTTAACGCCCCGGGGGCGTGAAACACCGCCCCCCGCCGGCGTGAAACGGGCGTGAGGGCGCCTGCGTCAAACGAATGACGCGGCGTGAGTTCGGCGCTGCTCCCTCCTAACGGCTAAAATAGCCGTTGCACCCCAAATTAAAAAAAAAAAAAAAAATTTTTCTATAAATTCAACCCTCCCCAACCAATCTCTCACACCTTTTCTCCAATCTCTTCATCTTTCTTATTTTTAAATTTCAAAATTCAAATCCCTCCTCCCAATTTTCAACATGAATCCTTCCGGCTCCGGCTTCGATCCCGACAATCTCCCCCCGAGTGACGCCGCGATGTGGTTCTACCAAGAGTGGGGCGATCGACCGCCGATATACGAGACGCAACAATCGGGGTATGTCGACCGAGATTCGGTTTCGGAGACTCAACCGGAATCGTCCGGATCAAAAAAAAGTACACGCCGGAGGAGCCACAAAGCCAAAGGCACGTTGACCGATGCGGCACGGGCAATCCAAAAGTGGACGCCGGAGGAAGAGTGCATATTGGCGTCGGCTTGGGTTGACGTCTCCGAGCATCCTATCATTGGTAAAAAATTTGTTTTTTCTAATATATTTATATTTTTATTTATATATATTATATTTAATGGTGTCAAAAAAAAATAATTATATACTTTTTTAAAGGTACGGAGCAAACGAAGGATGCGATGTGGGATCGTATCGAGGAGAAGTTCTTCACGGCGATGAAGAAGGACGGCTCCTACCGAACCCGTGACCAACTCACTTCCAAATGGAGCCACATCAACAAAAAAGTACGAAAATTTATGGGAGTATA